TTTTACGGACGCCATCACGAGTTGGTTAACCGTTATGGAATAGCTGTTTCACAGATGACGACGGATATGTTCCAATTGTCGTAACTACAATCCCGTCCCCTTTTCCACGAATGTGACCTACCGAATTAGACTTATCACCGGGTTTGCACTTGTATGAGCAACACGACAGTTGCTACATGTGGAGCAGGATCTGCCTAACCTTCCGAAACACCTGAGATCACCCCCTCCCCCAGTTTTTGGTGGGGTTCGTTATGCTCAGTCTTTAGTTTTCTATGTTGTGTTTTGTGTACTGTTGTTTTTCTGTTTGTCTTTTTTAGCCATGGCGTTGTCAGTTTATTTTCGACTTATGAGTTTGAATGTCCCTCTGGTATCTTTCGCCTCTCTTTTATGACTTTGTGTAGGCATGTCAACAATTTTAAAATAATTGAGTCTTCATCAATTTGATCATGTTGAAACTCTCAGATTGTTAGTTAAATTGTGTCATGTTAAAATTCTCAGATTGTTGGTAACACAAGAAAAAGAAAAACAGCTAACAAAACCACAGGCCGGACGTGGCAGGGTATATATACTTCCCTAACAACAAAAAAGACACGAAGTTCAGATCTGAAAATACTCGCAGTTACTGACTGCTAGTTCAAAGCCAATAACAACTAATAAAAAAATCATGTATCTAAGCCTATCATGTTCCACAAGAAGACTACAATATCGTATTATAAACGACAAGAAATGAAAATTAATCAAAAATGGTCCAAAAAATTGCTGAAAGGCAATAACTTCTACAAATAGTTGATTAATAGTTAATAAACTTCCTTTCTTTGAAGACCTTGTATCTTCAGTTTCTATTAATCTATAAACAGTTTTGAAGATAAAAAGAAATCGTGAACAGTGGTTTCATTAACAAAATAGCCATTTTTCTTGATCTTTTATTGCTGATCATTTCTGCTGTTTACAGTTTCTGTCTGTCTATTACAGTTTTCAAAATACTAATGTACGCAAAAATGCTAAAACTACTGACCATTTTTGCTCGCTACAGTTTCTAAAATTCGTAAAAACACCATATGTAGACAAAAAGTGTCAATCAAACTGCCAATTTTGTAGATCTTGAATTACTCATAATTTTTGTCATTCCAGTTTCTCTCCCTCTCTCTAATCGTTTTTAAAATGATAGGCATAACATAATATTGATATAATATATCTATAGTTGGTATGCGGATATGATTAGCGAAAAAATCCAATATAATTCGGCAAAATCATCACATAAGGTTCTAGTCACATTTGCATATTTGTAGGTCTTGAATTGGTGATTATTGTTGTTATTACAGTTTCTGTCTGTCTGTAAAATTTTCAAAATAATGGGCAATAGAAAACAAAACAAAAATATTGTCAATAAATCACCTTTCAAAGGCAATAACTACTAAAAGGATCTTGTATTACTTACAATTTTTGCTTCTTACAGTTTCTTTCTATCTATTATAGTTCTTATGAAAAAAAGGCAAAAACTGAATAAAAAAAAATCGCAAATCTCAAGCCGTAAATCCTACAAGTAGTCGTCTGATAAATTTGGCACAAATATAAAATAGCCAGATAAAAAGGTTCAAAAGATACAAAGTGGACAATAACAAATCATAAATCGAAGAAAAACCGACAAAACCATGGCCAAAATGACAAAAAGACAAACAACAGTCTGCAAAACACTAAACAAGAAGTAGATTAAAAAAAAAACAACCATTACGTACAACATCCTTCCAGATCTAAAATAACAAAACATTACGTACAACATCTCAAAAATACAGAATAAAGGTTTCACAAACTCCACCATAAACCTTGATGATTGCCTTAGAGCTTTGCGAGTTTTTGAGTGTTTGGTCTAACCTGACCGATGATCGAAACTATGACCCCCCGTACCTAAGGCGAGCAAGCATCCATGGGACCACAAAGGAGGTTAGCTGTGACCGTTCAGTTGTAAGGAATTCAAACCATAGCAAATATATTATTGAAAGATTATAATTTGTTTGTTTCTACTGTTGACAGTTTAGATAGCATGTATTTTGTTATACTTATACAGAACATGTTGGGTATGATCAACATCAATTGGCATCTATGTACAGGCACATACTTTATATAAACATGGAATTCTGAAGAGAATTTTTTTTATGAAATTGAGCCATGATATATTAAAGATACCACTTCACTTTGCTTTTCCAAGTAACACATATATTAGAACGCGCCAGCTCAATAAACAAAGAATAACATACTACATGTATTTACATCGATTGATGTATTTATTACATTTTTTTCAAGTTTTTATTTTCATTTAAAGTTTCGAAGTTTTTTCTCTCTGTAGAACAGCACCTTGAGTTCTGTGCAAGTTATTTTTTTATACAATGTACAAATACTGACAGATATCAAACGCTCATTAATTGATAATTTGTTTAACAAGGAATGTCCTATTATATAATACATACGCACATGACGTTAAACGGGAGTGCAATCATGATATATCTAAGTATCGCTTAAAGTTAAGGTGAACAACAAATTGCTCATGTTTTATCATAAACATGTTTAATGCTTACAGTTTACAACACTTATGACACCTATAAGTTTATGACCTTGTGTAAGCATATCAACTATTTAAAAATAACTGCATCATCGACAATTTGGTCCTGTTGAAACTCATAGATTGTTGGTTACTTAAGAAAAAGTCAAAGTTTGAAGACAAAGTTTTGCAAACCGTCAGACATAGTTGTGATCAAAGGGAAGTTATTCATTTAAGTTCTTTTCACAATCGAATTTTGAACAATTTAAGGCCACATCAATTTGATTAATAGTTCTCTGGATTTTTCCCGCTCCTGTTTTGGAGAAATTAACTTTTCAATAAAAAAAAAATAATTACCGCTTCCGCAAATTTTTGGGCCGCATGCCGCTCCAAAATTAGTTTCTCCTTGAATTTTTTTTTTACATAGACGTTTTTCTTGTGCATATATTGCTCCTGTCGATTCAAACGCACGTGTGATCAATCGATTTGTAAATAAAAGGTCAAAAATCGGAATGCCAACATGTAGTTGTGTCAGCACATTGCCATGGACAAGTAGTTATTGAACACACAGTTATCCGAAATGCATCTCGTTTTATCATTGAAGACCAGTTCTAGGAGGCAAAAATTAAAAATCTTTCGTTAGATGACTACAATCACATCAATATTTTTACTCTGACGTCCAACGGCTGTTTTGCCAGACAAGCTGGGGCCGAGGGACCACGGCCCCAGTTTGTCTGGCAAAACAGCCGTTGGACGTCAGAGTAATCTCGGACTATATTTGTTAGAACCATCATCATCTCCGATCATCGATTCATCAGACATAGACATATATCTATCTTGAATGAAATTAATATTAAATTCCCATGAACTTTTAAAAATATCACAGAATTATCTTATTTTGATGAAATGCCATATTCCCGTTTTAGTCTTTTGGCATGCAAGGAGATCTCATTTATAGGGGTAAATTACAACATGGTGGTATTGGGATTGGCATGCTTATAATAATTTGTGATGTGTTATCAACCACTTCTAGTCAAGTTAAAGAGTTTTAAATGCATTGCAGCTTTTAGAAGCAAAAGGAAAGAGTATATTTTGCTAAGTCAGAATAATCCATGTGAATGTGGTGACAGGTATTTTAAAGGGATATTTTAATACATTGAGATCTACATGCATATCAATATAACTATCTTACTCATCATGCTCATGATGTTGTTGAAATATTCACATCACTCATTATGTTGATCCTAAATATGGATAAATAGTTCCAACTGGATGTCAAGCAGCCAATAAACAATCATTACCATATAATGAAAACAACTATATAAAAAAATATTGTTCAGGGGCATTTTTTTGGAAACATATATTTTGATTTATTCAACATATGTCATTTATCCTACTTACATAATTCCTCTTGTTAAACTGCATCTGAAATGCTTTCTTAATATATAAACATGTATGGATTTAAATGAAAATTCACGCAGACAAAGCTTATCTGACGAAAATAATCAACTTAACCACAGCGAGACAAGAAAGTCGGGTATGGTACAGACACCATTACATCAAATTACGCATTAGAGCATGTTTCTCCTTGTTTTTCAATTAAGTAACATTGTTTTAACATGTACATAAATTCTGAATCGCAAAATTAAAAAAAAAATATGCCGCTCGCCTCACTTGTAGAGCAGTCGCCTCACAAAAACTCATTTTCAAGAAATAAATACAATAAAAAAAATTTCGCTCGCTCGCCCCATATTTTTTGGAGCTTTAGTCCGAAGAACTACAAATCAAATTGGCCTAACCACGAATTTTTAACATCGAACTGTTACCATGTCTTAATTAGTTATAAAAGGTACCAGGATTATAATTTAATACGCCAGACGCGCGTTTCGTCTACATAAGACCCATCAGTGACGCTCAGATCAAAATAGTTATAAAACCAAACAAGTACAAAGTTGAAGAGCACTGAGAACCCAAAATTCCTAAAAGTTGTGCCAAATACGGCTCCGGTAATCTATTCCTGGGATAAGAAAATCCTTAGATTTTCGAAAAATTCAAATTTTTGTAACAGGATATTTATAAAAATTACCATTTAATTGATATTCATGTCAACACCGAAGCTATGTTGTCATTCTTAAAAAGGTCGGAATCGATTCAAAATCGTTAAAACTCATGCACTGCATTTCAACATTTTGTCTAATCATTTTGCTGTCAAAACTGTGTATTTTATTCACCTTCACTTTATTCTACTCTAGAAAAAATTCCCGCCTGTTATGAAAAGTATGTACGACATTGGAATGGCTATCGTAACCGGAAACTGTTTAACACTAAATCAACAAAATAGAAATGAATGGAAAACAGTCTTGTCGTGTAATATATATAATCATTTTGAAGTTCAAAGATTCAGATTAAGATTAAAAGATATATTCAAAATATGTTATATAGTAAAGTTATTAAGTTATTTTACCTGACTTTTCGATAAATCTACATGAGATTATCTATGCAATATATCCCTGCCCTATGATAGTCTTTTAAATACATGTATTTATTTTGTTCTCAGTAACCTTAGCACTTAAATTCCCACCCATTAAAAGTCCTTGAGAATGACACATAAAACAACAAGTATAAAACGTGATTATATAACGTATCTTTGTATGTTACGATCATGAGAGAAAATCAAAACACTGACTGTGACAAGTGGAAACCTTTTATCGTTCCATATCTTATGAGAATAGAATAGAATAGAATATTTTTATTTCCCAAATAACAGGGCCCATAAAGGGAATACAAATCAGTTACAATTGATTGACATTATTGATAATTACAACACTGATGATAAACAGCACAGTGTACATGTACATGTATATTTAGTATATTAATTAGCATTGGTCAGACTCAGAGCCAACAACAATATATAATATAAATGCACGATTAAATTATAAAATTACATTATATGCATTCGTTATCAAATTATTTACTAGCCTTAGTATGACTATCAATATTCGGACCTGATATCCTTAACTCAAAACACTCCAATATAACAGCCCATTTTTCCCAAAAGAGATACATTTTCTTGTGTCAAGAGCCATAAATATTTGGAAAATTTATTCAAGTTTTTAAAATTATAACAAATGTTAGAAATGTAATGAAAAAAATCTTATTTTGATATCATATAGGGGACATTCTAATAAAAATGAAGCTCATCCTCAAGTTTACCAAGTGAGCAATTTAAACAAAGACGCTCGGATCTATGTATACGTTTTTATTAATATCTGTCGGCCTCAATTTTTTAAGAGTGAGCGCTTATTCTTATTTACAAATTGACTGTCATTTTTTTAAAATCCAGTAGTTTTCAATATTTTTCTTTTTTAAAACAATATTTTACAGAAAAATAAGTACCAAGCTTCCCTTTTTCTGAGTTAATTGTTTGATAATGGTTGGTCAAAATAAGGTAATTTTATCATCGTGTATAGCAGCAGACATAGTTTGGGTTTAAAGAGCACCCTTTTTATCTTATTATCAATAAATACGCTAATCTAGATTAAAAGGGGTTTGGCTGAAATCTATAAAAAATCGTTGAACCCTGGCAAATATATATATATATAGTTTGGGTTTAAAGAGCACCCTTTTTATTTTATTATCAATAAATACGCTAATCTAGATTAAAAGGGGTTTGGCTGAAATCTATAAAAAAATCGTTGAACCCTGGCATTATATATATATATATATATAATTAAGAAGTATGTATACATGTGTCTGTCCAAAGTCAGATACCTTGTCAGTAGTTAAGTTATATCCCACTTGTTTTTCTTATTGCCAAATTTAGGTTTTTATGCCAGATATTTAATATAAAAATAAGAAGATGTGGTATGATTGCCAATGACACAACTATCCACCAAAGTTCAAATGAAGTGGATGTAAGCAATTATGGCCAACCGTAAGGCCTTCAACAATGAGAAAAACCCAATCCGTATGGTCGGCTATAAAAGGCCCCGACATGAAAAATATGAAACAATTCAATTGAGTTTTAATTTATAACAAAGCAATTTACGAAAACAAATATGACAGACATGAACCAACGACAACCACTGAACTACAGGCTCCCGACTTGGGACAGACACATAAAAAATGTGGCGGGGTTAAACATGTTTGTGAGCGTTCAGCCCTCCCCTAACCTGGGACAGCGGTGTAACAGTAGATTGTTTTTAATCGCAACTTTTCTACATACTTTTGGCGATTTTGAGCTAGATATATTCTCCAGAAAAGTGTCTATACTGTTGAAGAACGTAATATAGATCAAAAAGATGTCTGTTTAAAGTCATTTGGTTGCTGTAACATTGACATGTAACCCACATCTCCTTTTAATCATAAATTCCCAAACTACCAGATTTTCACACTGTGAGCAGATTCCATGTCTCTTTCTAATTTAATGCCTGTCTTTTGAACGCATGACTCTCTTTTAAAGGGGCATTGGCTACGAGATTTTGAAAATATGATTTTTTTTGTTCAATCTTTAATGAAAGTGAAATAGTGAAATAATAATTTGCTTTTAGCAGCCAGTTTGGTTCAATTTTGTCAAAATAAGCAAAAAACATCACTGATGAATTAAGCACTTGCAAGTGAATAAGTCGACCTGATTGAATCCGTATTCATGTGACCTTCAATTAAACCCTCGATGGTTAATTAGATGGCGTCTAGACTATAAAATACACACGAAATGCTGATACATATTATCGAGCCCATGCATTGTAAATTGCTTATTTTAGACTTTTTATATCTTGGATAAAATTGAGAATGGAAATGGGGAATGTGTCAAAGAGACAACAACCCGACCACAGAACAGACAACAGCAGAAGGCCACCAACAGGTCTTCAATGCAGCGAGAAATTCCCGCACCCGGAGGCGTCCTTCAGCTGGCCCCTAAACAAATATATATACTAGTTCAGTGATAATGAACGCCATACTAAACTCCAAATTGTACACAAGAAACTAAAATTAAAAATAATACAAGACTAACAAAGGCTAGAGGCTCCTGACTTGGGACAGGCGCAAAAATGCGGCGGGGTTAAACATGTTTATGAGATCTCAACCCTCCCCCTATACCTCTAGCCAATGTAGAAAAGTAAACGCATAACAATACGCACATTAAAATTCAGTTCAAGAGAAGTCCGAGTCTGATGTCAGAAGATGTAACCAAAGAAAATAAACAAAATGACAATAATACATAAATAACAACAGACTACTAGCAGTTAACTGACATGCCAGCTCCAGACTTCAATTAAACTGATTGAAAGATTATGTCTTCATCATATGAATATCAGGCACAATCCTTCCCGTTAGGGGTTTAGTATCATACCATCATAACATATATGAGAAGAACATAACCCGTGTCATGCCAACAACTGGTTTTTAAATAAATGTGTTTAGTGCAGATGCAAAGACCCTATAAGTGAATCAATATCAACGCCAAAATATGCAATCTTTAATGACCTGACAACAGTATCGTAACTATATCCCTTCTTAATAAGTCTATTTAAAGGTTTTGTTAGTTTCAGAGGTGAATACTGACATTTTTGTGCTTTATAAAGAATATTTCCATAAAAAATTGGATGTGAAATACCTGAACGTATAAGAAGTCTGCATGTTGAGCTATATTTACGAATGATGTCCTTATACCGATGATAAAATTTAGTAAATGTTTTGACTAGTTTGTGATATCGAAAACCCTGGTGTAATAATTTTTCAGTAATACATACATTTCTCTCGTTAAAATCTAAAACATTGTTACATACACGAGCGAATCGTACAAGTTGAGATATATAAACACCGTAAGATGGTGACAAGGGAACGTCACCATCTAAAAATGGATAATTAACGATAGGAAATGAAAAATCATCTCTTTTATCATATATTTTAGTATTAAGCTTTCCGTTAATGATATAGATATCAAGATCGAGGAAAGGGCAGTGGTCATTGTTAGTATTAGCTTTATTTAAAGTAAGTTCAACAGGATAAATTTCTTTAGTATACATACTGAAGTCGTCATTATTGAGAGCCAAAATATCATCCAAATATCTAAAAGTATTATTAAATTTGTGTATCAGATGTTGTTTCGATGGGTCTTTACTGATTTTTGTCATAAATTGTAACTCATAGCAATACAAAAAAAGGTCCGCAATAAGTGGTGCACAGTTAGTCCCCATTGGAATTCCGATAACCTGACGATATACGGAATCTCCAAAGCGAACAAAAATGTTATCTAGTAAAAATTCAAGGGCATATATAGTATCAAAGCATGTCCAATTGACATAGTTTTTTTGTTTATTGCTACTAAAAAATGACCTAAAAGAGTTTGAACATATATATTCACATTCTGACTTTTTAAATGCCCATTTAATAGGTGTGTGAATTTTTTCTTAATGAGAATGTGAGGCAATGTGGTATATAGGGTAGAAAAATCAAAACTTTGAACAGATTCAAAATCACCAATATATGCATGCAATTTATTAAGTACTTCCAACGAGTTCTTGACACTCCAAAAGTAATTAATTCCACTATTTTCGAAGGCCTTATTTGAACAATTTATTATCAGGTTTTTGATTGTACCAAGTGTACTGGTAAGAAGAATAGACAATTTAGTAGTGGAACAATGGCTTGGAGACGAAATGAATCTATATTTGGAAGGTGTTTTGTGTAGCTTCGGAAGCCAATACATACACGTTTTAGTATGTTATAAATCAAATATGAGAATTTGAGTCAAATCGGTGCATATGAATTTGACATCTAATGCCCCTTTATAAAGGAATGGCGATCTGACGAAGTTTTATTTTACTAACTAATTAGATATAGGAAGATGTGGTATGAGTGCCAATGAGACAACTCTCCATCCAAGTTACAATTTATAAAAGTAAACCATTATAGGTCAAGGTACGGCCTTCAACATTAAACATTAAGCTTACATTAAAAGTTCAGTTTAATTCATATATTTCAGTATCAACATGCGAATTAAACGCTGAAAAGGAAAATCTGTTCTAAATAATGTAAAAGTATCGCTCTATTAAGTGCGATTAAAATATTTATTTAGATCTTGCCATACTGTCTCGTAGTCGTTTTTTTTTCTCTATTCTACTGCGACATTCACTTATGGTTTTAGAATTCACACCGGCATAATAAAATTACATTCATATGTTCCTGCCTTGTACCGATTCATTCGGTGTCCTGTGTGCATATGGTATAACAAAGGGCATACACATGTAATTTATGCGGTTTTAAAAGCTCTTCACAGCTTATGTTTGTTATTGTATATACCTACTTTAAATAAAGCTAATACAGGCTAACTAGTCATTTTGGGGTCCTTTATAGCTTGCTGTTTGGTGTGAGCCAAGGCTCCGTGTTGAAGGCCGTACTTTGACCTATAATTGTTTACTTCTTTTACATTGTGACTTGGATGGCGAGTTGTCTCATTGGCACTCATACCACATCTTCTTATTTATAAAAACTCAGATTCATTACAGAAATTTAGTCAGCTTCAAACCTGGGACTTTAAATATGTA